GTTTCAGAGAATGAAAGTCATATTCTCAGAAGTTCAAATAAAAAAACTTGTGTATCGTGCCAGTTGTGTGACGTCATCTGCTGCAAGGTCTTCATTGACACCTCATTGTCTGGCCACTATAGCTTCTGCTTGCGTTGAAAGGGTTAAGGCTTTAGCAGCTCAGCTGTCTAAAAATACCCAAGTCTTTAAGAATCACAGAAATCTCACCAAACTCATAACCAGTTTAAAATATGATTTTCAAGAACAGAACTCCAAAATTCCAAAATTTCATTTTTGTCAGTAACTCCAATAAAATATTGAACTAAACTTCATATTTGTTTTATGTTCACGTCTATTTACCAAACTTTCAAGTTCATTAATACTGTATTTAACCTCTTTAGTATAATCAAACGTCACAGAAAAACAGAATCCATCATTTTCCTTTAAATATCTAATTATATTATGACAACTGCAATCTAGAACTATCTTTAAATGAAAAGGCTATTAACTTGTAAGCTCTCTGCAGAATCTTGATAAAGAAATTTTTTTAAAGTAAATATTCAATATTAATTAGAATAGAATTAGTCTATAAAGTTGAAAATCAATCCTCTTGGTAATTTTTATTTACATTGTACACAATTCTTAGAATCATACATATACTCCTATAGACATCTGTGGTTCCTGCAATTCCATTAAAAATATGTGTTTTATGACGTCACTAAGGGCCTTATGTGATATAATAGCATATTTTGTAATTAGTGACATCATCAAATTCTTTTCTTTAGTGAATTGCAGGAACCACAAACTGGTGCAAATTCATGAAAATCAGTGTCCCCAGCGAACCTCTTTACAATCCCTTTAATCATATTCACAGTGTGTGAAGAAATAATCATGGATATTTATCTTGAATATGATGATCTTTAAAGAAACAATTTCTTTTTTATTTTAAGTAATATCCCTTTCATTATATAACTAAAGAAAAGAAGAGTTTTTCCCAATGATAAGCTGTCTTTACCATTTCCTCTTATATGACAACTTATTTGTTGCTTGTCAAATACCACAAATAAATTGTTTTAGGTCATCTTATTGGTGCACAGACTGTTTCTCACCATATGTACCCCAAGTATTAGAAGGCTGGTGCTGCCACTGGTTAAATATGATGGGTTTTTTCTGATATCCTTAAGTTTTATGTCTTATGACCACAATTATATGGATATTTACTTGGTTCTACTTATATAGTTTCTTACCTTAAATAAGTACTAAATTCATTGATTTAAGACTAACAAGTTACTAACTTTTATGGTACTTAATTTATAGTGATTATCTTCTGATATTTTAAGAGAATGTAAAAGAGGCTTTTGAACCATTCTATTGGTAACAGGAACAATGATAGCATCAATTTGCAACATTCTAATTTTCAATCAGACGTCTGTGGGTCTTGCAATTCCACTAAAACTAACCAATTTATGATGAAGCTATTGCAAAGGTCCAAAGACATTATTGGCAGCTTAAATTGTGATAGGGAGGTCATATAAGGTTTCTTATCCCATTAAATCATTTCTTTAATAACAGGAACCAGTGATATCTGATGAAATAAAAAAATTAGAATGATGCAAAAACAGAAGCCATAAATGACACCGACACACATAGAATAGCTAGAAAATTGATTTGACATACTGACCGATATGGTCATATACATAACCACTACTGTATTAAATGTGGGTGAAATGAGATAATGATTGGAAAGTAATTATAGCTTCCAATATTATCTAAGACCAATATCGGACCACATTTTGTCTGGTACTATATCTTCACACCTTTATTACCAATAAACATCAATCTGAACTCAAGAAGGAAATTAATTCCAAAGTTCATCATCACTGTCTGAATTATTGTAAGATACCCTCATAATTCATACCATTATTCTCCAGAGTCAAAATTCATCTTACTTTAAAACTTCCTGTTTCCTGTTTGTGTGTGGCGGCCTTGTCAATTGGTAATAATACAGCATGCAAATTACTTTTAACGTTTTGAACCTTTACTAGAACATGCCTCCAAATTATCAAGGATTTACAATTTTTAGATATTCCACAAAGCTTTTATCATCATGAACTTCTTCCTGCCAAAGTTACAAAATGAAATGAATGGAGTTTGATTGGTCAATCACTGACATCAATTTTATATTTAAATTTCATTATCCAATCAGATAACTGTATTTCTTAAAATTCAGATTTAATCTTAGTTAAGTTTCCAAGAAGAACAGTCCAGATCCCCTATTCTAAACAAATCTCTCATGGTAATTCCCCAATCTTAACACAATTTTAGTTTGAAATGGAGTCCAGAGAGACACAATCCAATTTAAATTCTGCTTAAGATTAGCATTTAATATTTTCTTAATGTTCCTCACTTAATATCAATCGATCCAATCAAATCAAATCGACCCTTTCTTCCCTTATCAAGATCAAAACTTAGATCAAAAAGTGTCTAATTTCAGGAAAAATAAACTTGGAATAAGTCAGAGACAAAAATCAGGAATTCCAAAGCTGAATTTCTGGTTTTTAAAATAAATATTGATGCCATTTCATCTATCCAGTGGAAAAAATCAAGATTATGCCAAAACTGATTCAATAAAATAATGACTTACATGATGATTAGATCGAATATATATGACATTTGTAAAAGATCTTTGAGGTGAGGTTAAGACAATGTGTTGACTACTGATGACTAATCAAGAGTTTTGTTCAAAAGAAAGTTGTTGAAACCTTGGGAAACCTTAGAAAGCAACCAAGTCCACTTATCTTGAAGACTTGTTATTACAGCATCTTTATTTTTCCATTTCTTTTGCTTAAACTAACAATAAGTGTATATTAAGATAAAAGGAGAAACCTATTATTCAAACTTTTCTTTAGAGATCTATAATTTTAAGTACTGGTCTGATAGATCAACTACGTTCCACCAATTGCCTTCATTTAAAATCACATAAGAAGTTTTCAGTTTTAGTCTGCTTGGACTGGTGCCAGTTTACTTCCTTTTAAATCATCTCATGAATACAATCTTTCTCAGTTTAAGGCATACAAAACTTTGTATGGTTCTTATGTTGAAACAACACACACAAAATTGTTCATAACCAATATGAATCACTTGATTTTTAATAAAGGCTACAATATTTCAACAAAGCCTTCAAATCACATTTAAGGGTTTAGAAATGGCTTTAAAAGTGATTTTAAGGCTTTGTCGAAAATTGTAGCCTTTTGAAAAATTTGACGTTAAATCGAAGAAGTGATTCAAAATGATTATGAACTACGTTCCTGTATGTTATTTTCACTATTGTCCTCTTGTCAAACAGCGTTCAGTATTTAGCCCCATCATAGGTTAAGAGTTTTTTCTAACAATGAGAAAGTCTGTGCAACTGCCAGGAAAGTATTTCTGAATTTACACAGATCACATAAATTCAATGTAAGTATAAAAACATGTGACATCTTCACATTAGAAGTTAGAAAAACTATCTGGCTCTAATTCTCTATTGTCTCATCCATTTTCTTCTGACATTAGTCTTTTCAGTTCAGGTCATGAGTTTATACCTTGACTGCAATGGTCACCTTCCTTGTGTCATACAAGTTTGTAAATGAAGCGATTTGATTGGATTGTATGCTAGCGAATTCAAACTATCAGAGGCCTTGACAGAAAGTCTGAGAACATCAAGCTATAATGTTTATAGCCTTTTTGTCAAGGGCTGTGTATTCGCTAGCGTACAATCCAATCAAGTCGTTGCATTGCGTGATACAAAATAGGTGACCATTGCAGTAAAGGTATAAGTACGAAATCTGTAATAGTTTGACATTGTTAAGATGGTGCTCTGAAGAGTTATCAAGTTACCTTTTAAAATAGGTTAACAACTCATAAATCTCTGACTTCGTGTATTTAGTCCATTGAATTTCACACCTTAAAAAGTCGGTAAGTGATTTTTTGAATGAACAAGAAAAGACTAATGTCAGAAGAAAATGGATGAGACATTAGAGAATTAGAGCCAGATAGTTTTTCTAACTTAAACATGTAGAAATTCACAACAGAAAATGATTTGGTAGGGACTAGTTAGAAATCTATATCTCCAACACAAATATAAATCTGTTAATACCTCAATCTGTCATATAAAGTGGATTTGCATCAAAATATCTCATTCACTGAACTATATATTATGAATATCTGTCAGAATTTTTTTATTTATTTTTTTTATAATCAATAAAATATTAAAGTGGCCGTCTGATTTTTTTTTTTATGTAGGTTGAAATCTTTTGATCAAATTTATGAAAACTATTCACCAAAATCTAGAGAAATGTGTACCTTTAATTCTAAAATGCCAAAAATAATTCAAAGGTTTATATTAAAATTTTACCGTTGCTATGATTTTTGATTGAGAATTTCAGCAAAATAAAAGCCAAATTGTAGAGAAATATATCTCGTTTTTAATCTGGTTAAGCAAATGGTTCATAAAATGGTTCATTACCAAACGACAAACAAAAGATACAATGTATAATATAAATAACAATAATAATTCAATCCTAATCTTAAGATGTCCTTATGTAAAGATTGTTTTAATGTCCTCTCTGGGACTTCATAAAAAATATCCAAATTATGCCAATCATGCATGCCCAAATATGACAATCATTGTGTTCATGAATCCAAACTCTGCTCAAATATTAATATAATCCAGCAATATCTGCAACAAGACTTTGTACTATAGAATCTTCTAATTGGCATCTTAATCCTGTTCAATGAGTTTACTTGCCTTCCTCATTGAACTTTTGAATTAATATTTGAATTTGAACTCCAATTTCCTAGCAAAATGTCCTGATAAGCATTTTATATCAGAAACATGTTAGGTTATTGTATTTATCTATGACAAATTTATATTACTGACAATAATATATGACCAAGTGAACGCATATTGAGATGTATCATGAATTTTCCACACACCACCCTGCTTAACCCTGTGAAAGTTAATAATAAAGACAAACATAAACATACCTCATCTTTATCATTATCTCTAGAAACTGACAGCAGAAGATTCTTAGGAACAGGAGAACCACGTATGATAGCATCTTCATCATCTTCAATACCCAGATGCTTAGCTACATCTAAAGCTGTTGATTTAGTAGCAGTTGCTGTTAAACCCAGGAAACATTTGACGCCATATACTTCTCTTAATATCTGTAATACAAAGCATTTTATACCATATAGTTCTGTTAAAGGAGCAGTCTGCTTTTTTAGGAGGTTGGAAAATTTAGGCGCTATAATTAATGGAAACTGTACACTAATATCAAGGGATTATGTCCTTTAACGTATCTGAAAGTTTTAACTTAAATATAAACCCTGATGTAATTTTTATTAACAAAACTACTTAAAAGGTTTAGATTGGTTGGTGTTGGAAAACTTATGTATAGATGTAAAAAGAAAAAGTCAAATTGGAACAGAAATATGTATTCTACCCTTTCTGGAGGTTTCAACTAAAATGAAGGAAAGACCCAACACCAAATCATGTTTAAAATGTTTAGTTAACAATCTGTACACTCTGTTTTTAATTAACCCTTTAAAAACCAATTGCGTTTGGTCAAGTAAATACATAGATGTAAATAGCATATTTTAGAAATATTTTCAATTATAATTCACATTTAAATTTTTTAATAATAAAACTTTGCACATTGCCCTTTTAATATCTACAAAAGGTTAAATTCCCTACCATATACTTTTTATAATATCTATTATCATATTCAATGTAGGTATATGTCACATATTTTATTCTAATATAAAATGTAATTGGAAGCATAAACTGAGAATAGATCAAGTTCTTTTGTTTTCATTTCCCATTTCTTGTATTATCATCATTCTGACAAATCTGACAGAAATTGAGAAACACAACAGACAAAGAAATAAAACTAATGATTGACACGTTAATCTTAAAGATGGGTTTTCTTGATTAAAAGTAGTCCAAAAGAGATTAAAAGAGCTTAACCATAGATTAATGGGCCTTTCTAGTGGTTAATCCAATCAACCACGCAAACGCTTCGCCAAGCTCGGGGAAGCCCTTGGTCTATTTACGTTCAGGAATGAGGTAATGGCATCATAGATAGAGATCACGTAACATGATAATTTCTGATTTAGATTGAAGAGTTATCCACATTTTCATAATTCGAAATATTTAGTCCAGCAGAGGAGAAAAGCAATATGGTAAGTAAGAATATACTTAAAATGATTACAATTATTCATCTTGAACAAATGGAAACATATTTCTTCGATTCTGAAGTCTTTATCATTTCCCAACGGTGTATTCTTCTTGCTGCCATTGTTGTAAGTGACCAAATTTTCTTTGTTATGATGGACTTTTCTGATGTGCATGCACGCATTCTTTTAAAAATAATAGCCAATCAAATTAAACATTGGAAATCGGGACTATTGGAAATGTAAACACGGGGATTCCCCCGGTAATTAGCTAATTACGAGTTAATTAGGGACCCCACAGATTAACTCTTGTACTCGGAAGTCGTTAGGATAACCGTCCAATCGATTTATATAAATGTTTGACACACAACAATGGATTAGAAACAAAAATGAAAGACTCTATCTTTAACAACTTTTATATCTAAAATTAAAATACCACATGGATGCAAAAATTTTATCATCGAATTCATCATTTAATCTATTAGCTAAATAAAGCTTGTTTGAATGACATTTTAATGCTTAAAACTTTGTCAAAGACAAACATATTCTTAAAATCTACATTTCATTTATCTATAGATGCAAAATTCAAATGCTTCTAGATTTGTTAGCTAAAAATTCAAAAACTTTTAACTTTGTCAGCTCAAAATTCAAAAACTTTTAACTTTGTCAGTCCAAAATTCAAATGCTTTTAACTTTGTCGGTGCAAAATTCAAAAGCTTCTAACTTTGTCAGTGCAAAATTCAAAAACTTTTAACTTTGTCAGTGCAAAATTCAAAAGCTTCTAACTTTGTCAGTGCAAAATTCAAAAACTTTTAACTTTGTCAGTGCAATATTCAAAAGCTTCTAACTTTGTCAGCACAAAATTCAAAAATTTGTCAGTGGATACTTCAAATGCTTCTAAATTTGTCAGTGGATAATTCAAATGCTTCTAAATTTGTTATTGGATAATTCAAATGCTTCTAAATTTGTCAGTGGATAATTCAAATGCTTCTAAATTTGTCAGTGGATAATTCAAATGCTTCTAAATTTGTTATTGGATAATTCAAATGCTTCTAAATTTGTCAGTGGATAATTCAAATGCTTCTAAATTTGTCAGTGGATAATTCAAATGCTTCTAAATTTGTCAGTGGATAATTCAAATGCTTCTAAATTTGTCAGTGGATAATTCAAATGCTTCTAAATTTGTCAGTGGCTAATTCAAATGCTTCTTACCAGATTTTTAAAATCAGCATTTCATTTATTTACAGATGCAATACGATATTCCTATTTATGACAACAATTTAGTTGTTTTTTGCAAACAGCCTTAATAGAGTTTTTCTCCATTAAATTACAATATAATTCAGTAAAATTACCACATAAAAACATTACATGAAGAGAGAATTTAGATAATGTCCTATGATATTCTAAAGTAGTGCTTCAAGCTTGACCATACACTTCATGATAAAATAAAGAGGATAGATTGTCTAATAGCAACACTAAATCCATCAAAAAAATAATCGAAAATTGATGTTGAAAAAATTGAAGAAGTGAAATATCAGTGATATTAGATAAGAAAAATGAAACTTGAAAGCTTTCTATTTCTGTTTTTTTTTGACACTACATTTAACACAAGTAAATTTGAAAAGTAATTTTAAAGGTAACAAAAATCGGCAACTAGAAAAAATATAAGATGAAAAAAGAAGTTAGAAGTTATTATTTCCTTGTAAGCTGATTAATGTACAGAATTCTGAACAAATTTCAATTTAACCTCAAGGCATGTGAAATCGTTTAAAGTATATTAACTCTCTTGACGACTTTAGTTCATAACAAGATTAGATGCCAAGGAGCAAATATCAAACATTACAAGTGCTCTTCAATTAACTTGTTGAAGAAGTTTTTATCCTTCAAAGACGATTTTAAAATCTGAAAATTAAAGCATTTTTTTTTTGAATCACAATTTGTGCACCGCCTACTTTAAACTGAAAATAATTTGCCACATGGATAAACATACAGCAATGATAAATGAGAGCTTGCCAGACAAGGTAACGTATGCCCATTGACAGTTTTACTTGAATAAGAAGATTTGGTAGAATGGCAACCATTACCAGGCCATGTTTGATTGATTTTGAGAGGGCTAAGCCTTAATTGATATTTAATAGTTTCAACAATTTTCATATAGTATGTTTACAGGCTAAAAATCAAATGTGTTTCAAAAAACAAGGGCAACTTATTTCAATACAGATCACAATTTCACCAAAGATCATCAAAATAAACGTTGCCTTCTGACGTGTTTTCCAGCAATTATGGACCTACAGAGCAACGTAAATGCTGAACATTTCATGTTGACGTGTAAAAATAACAATGTTTTCCACAGCAGCCAATTACTTCAGCCAAAACTCTAATCAAATGAAATAAATATATTAGAACCACACATTGAGCATGCTTTGGCATTACCTAAGTTTATACAAAAAATGATTGACATCTGCCAATCATTATATTGGTCAACGAAAATTTAAACTTATAAGTCACTATATTTACTGGATCAATAATTAGGTTGATTCTCTAAGAATAGGAAACTAATTTCAGAAAAAATATTGATTGTTTTGACAAAGTTATAAGCAAATGAACATAATGCCTTATTCACAACAAAACTTTACTTATAATTCTCTTGGTCAATCAAAAAAAATTGATTTTAAATCAAAATTGATTCAATAAGATAACTGTATTTCATAAAATCTTGATTTAATTTCAGTTTCAGAAGAATATAGCTCTTGCAGCTTCTGTTATCTTGAATCTGTCCAGTATTAGAACTTGAGAAATAAATCACAGAAGAGAAAATATATGTGTTTGAATATAAAACATGACCTGGAAAAATGAATACTGTCATTAACACACCACCTCTTTAGACTAATCATCATCTTTAGCTGTTGATGTGTGTTCCATGTCTCCACGGGGTAGAATTTCAATTATCATTTATGATACCCTGTCATTCAAATTTCTTTTAAATTGCAATAGAATATGGTTGAGTAATAATTGTCTGGGTTAAACCACTGTTATCAGATGTCATCCAGTGCCAGGTATCGATTACCAATCGGTAATTTGTTACCGATCAACGATTGAATACTAATCGAAATATTTAAACAGAGAGATATTCTTAATACTCAATAAAAAGCATGTTAAAAGTTTTAATTCTTTGTTTAATTTTTGTGTCAATGAAGAATAATAATAAGAATACTATTGCTTTGATCTGTTATTATGATTTATTGAAGGTAAGTTATATTGAAGGGAAACTTTGTGAAAGACACTTTGTTGAAGAGTGGATTTATAACAGGTAGTCTGAAGAAAATCTAACTCTGACATTTAAGAGATTATGAAAATTGATTATTGATAATCTAACTTATAAATTCATAGCACTAATAATGGACTATTTTACCTAGCCCTCTATATCTTAATTGTGTACATACCTTACATAAACGTAGATATGATGGTCTGAAATTATGAGACCACTCTGATAGACAATGAGCTTCATCAATACAGACAAAGGCTATCGGAGGTAATTTGTCTGGACCAGGAAAAGAACCAATAGTCGACCAGGCACCACCAACAACAGCTTCAGGAGACACCAGCAAAAAATGTACATTGCCTTCTGATATTGATTTGAAAACATTTTCTTTCTGTACTTTGGACATATTGGCATGTAAACAAGCTCCTTTTACACCAGGTGGCAGACCAGTTACCTTAAAAGCAGAAACGGTTCATTGAAAGGAATTTCTAGCTTAGGTATGAATATAAAGCACACTTTCACTTGTGTAAATATTTCAATAGGTGTTCCCATTGTGCTCAGAAAATCTAGAATATAGCTTGCCAGGCAAGGTAACATACGCCCACAGATAGCTTTGATTGTAAGTATTATGTAATTCGATATATTTACCATCTTCATAATGACATTGACACACAAAATAAAAATCAAAAGAATCTGTAAAGAATTGTAGCTTGTAGAGTGAGCACGAGTTGCACAATATAGCTAATAGAGTAAAATTTCAAGTCAGACAGGATATTTTGGTGAAAAATTATCCGATCATCACAAAAATCAATAGATCATCATGAAAATCAATAGGGATCATCTTCATAATGACATTGACACACAAAATAAAAATCAAAAGAATCTGTAAAGAATTGTAGCCTGTAGAGTGAGCACGAGTTGCACAATATAGCTAATAGAGTAAAATTTCAAGTCAGACAGGATATTTTGGTGAAAAATTATCCGATCATCACAAAAATCAATAGATCATCATGAAAATCAATAGGGATCATCTTCATAATGACATTGACACACAAAATAAAAATCAAAAGAATCTGTAAAAAATTGTAGCCTGTAGAGTGAGCACGAGTTGCACAATATAGCTAATAGAGAAAAACGTCAAGTCAGGCACGATATTTCGGTGAAAAATTATCCGATCATCACAAAAATCAATAGGGATCATCTTCATAACAACATTGACATACGAAATCAAAATCAAAAGAATCCATAAAGAACTGTAGCCTGTAGAGTGAGCACGAGCCAAATGTGAACGGACGGACGGGCGGACCAACAGACGGACGGACCGACGGGGTGATTACAATATACGCCCATCTTACGTGTGGGCGTATAAAAACCTCCTTTGGAACCCTTTACAATATTCAACAAAGTGACTGCAGTGAGCTTTGTGTGAAAATTCAGTGGCACCTAACAGACGTCCTCCCCTACTGATTCATTGAAACACCATTGATTCATGTATTCAAAATGCATGTCTTATACTTGGTATCCATATTGTACAATGTTCATCATCTAACCTGATCTTCCATTAAAGACACTAATGGTGATACAACAAGTGTTAAACATGATGAATTTTCACCATAAACATAAGCTGGTAGTTGATAACATAAACTTTTCCCCTCTCCTGTAGATAAGACTACAAGCGTTGATAGACCTACAACATAACATGAATACATTAAAATAATTTAAGTAGCAATCTATCTAAATTTCACTATCATTTTTGGTGTCATGTTTATCTGACACTATCTGATGAAGTTTTCACTCCAATGTGTTTTTTTGTCTATGAGAATAGATATATGTCAGCTACCTCCTTGTGATGAAAAATTGCTGAACATCATCATTAGCTTAATAACTTTACACACAATCATCATCATTAGCTCAATATGGTAGAGAACATTACCAAGCCAATGATAAGGATAATAGACTATCATCACAAGGAGGTTACAGATATACCTTTTCAAATTGTCACCCCTTAGTCAAATTCACAAGCTGTATTTAAAGCATTAGAGAACAAAAATAAACAACATAAGGACATATATTCTTACACAAAACAATGCAATTATTATGAAACAAATTCCAAACCTTAAATAACATTGGACAAATTAAGTAATCGACAAATTTGAAGTTTACACACATGCATAGTCTTGTAGACATTTTGCAATATCAATATTCAATTGTTTTATTGAAAAACTATAAATCGAACTCTACTCAAGCTTACAACTGTCAACATAACTATCAAAGACTGGTATAGAGGCAGATGTTTCCGACTGAATTCAATTTTACCTCTTCAGCAGTCAACAGTCCTTTAAGAGGTGTGATTTGTTCTGAAACCCCAATTGGGCCATTGTCACAATCTATTAGCAGTGAATCTCATTTATAACAATTCACTGAATTTATCGGAATTGTAATTATGTAAAGGCTAAAATATGTTCAGCTGGTAAAATCAATTAACAATGGAATAAGCTTATTTATTGTCTTTAACAACTTAACATCTGATTAATATTACTTAAATCTTGAGGGTATGATTGAGATTCTTGCCAGTTGACATATTTGGTCAGTAGGCTAATAATGTTGATGAAGCGTTTGTTAACTAGACTTTTTTTTGTAAATTCACAAATAATAGGGTATATTTAATCCTCTGTAAAAGCCCATTATGAAAGCAAAAGTACTATTAGCTCCATTTCAATTACACATTATTTCTTTTTTCATATGAAATAGATCTGAACAAATCGAGTTAGCTTAGCAACAAACTAAGATTTTTTGCAAATCAATCAATCCACAACATAATGCTAAAGGTCTCTTGGGTAAGGTCTTTTTTCTAAGAAGGCAAAAATTCTGTTGTCTTTGAAGACGGTAATGTCTTAAATATCAACGCTTTTGGTAGAATTCAAAGAGTAACCACGTTTATTGTTGACATAATAAGAGCAATATTATTCATCCGATATCATATTTATATTTTTAAATTTCTAAACAAAGTTTCCTTTTTGTCAAATTGGACATGAGGCATTTGTGTTAATTTAGTTATGGCCATGTTAGGTATACTTTATTACATTAAGTTATTGGAATTCTAATGAAAACCAATATGATATCATCACTACTTGCCAACTGAATCTTGTTTTTGGCTGAGATTCCATTGCAGTAAACATAGTTTTTGTGGTTCCACTTCCTCAGATATTGATTTTGGTCCCACATGGTTTCAAACTTTTTTTCTAGTATATTGACATTTTAAAGATCTATAAAACCACCCACATTTCTGAACTTATATTTCCAAATATTTGAAGAGGCTATTTCATGGCAATCTAATTAAATTAAATTACAATTTCAAAACATCAGAAACAAAATAAATATGAAATTGTAATATAATTTTAATTACAATAATAAAATATTTGTAGTGCTCAATGCAATTGTACAGTAATATAGAAATATTAAAACAGAACCTAAACACCATGTTGTTGTTACCATGAGTTTCATGCTATGCGATCTTCAGATTAATGACCTATTTTCAGTCTGCTTCCCTACTATAGTTGACCAATTAGAAATTATTCTCATGTCTATATTTCAAGTTGGGAACATATGTTCAAAAATTGTGCTTAGGGGCATTAATGATGGAAAGCTGTTCAGTTAAACACAGGTATGGTGTGGTTTTTAGTTCTACTATCAAAGGTTCACTGCATCAAGTTGAATATTAGCAATTTATTGAAAGAAAACACATTATCTTACCACATAGAATTCTTTTCATGGCATTCTCCTGTCCTGGTCTAAAACTTTGGAAACCAAATTGTTTCAGAGCTTGCTTCATTTCCTTTGGAGTATCTGAAAAACATATCCGAAAAAGTTTAACCAATGTCAATTTATTTAGGCCCAACGCCCAAACAATCCATTGGTACCTCTTTACAAATTGCTACTGATCGCATCAATTTTCAATCAGACGTCTGTTGTTCCTGCAATTCCACTATTAAAACTAAGGGGGCACACACAGGCTATAGCCCCTTTTGGCCCCCACAAGAAACATCAATGTACATGCTGTTATTGGAGATGCAACAATGCAGCAATTTCATTGTTTCTGTGCCTAAATTTAATAAAGCTTTGAAATTCGAATTCAAGTAAATGTTGATTACATACCAGTTTGTTTGAAAACATCAGACGTATATAGAGCAGTAAATGATAAAGGTGCTGATGGTTTATCTACTGGACCACGTACAATTTCTGATTCTATAGCATCTTCTTCATCTTCTTTAACAGCAGTTTCTATAACATCATGCTCATCTAGAATGTTCACAAAATTTCTCTTACACTTGATAAAACAACATGCAGTTTTCAAAGGGCTACTAATTGTATTCCTGTGGATACTCAGTTCAAAGGACAGTATTCAAAATTTCTATTATTCCAAATCATTGTAATTTATATGCGAAAAGATTTCTAAAATATGTCATTTATATCTATTTATCTTCTTGTTCATCAAACTGAATTTATATTTATATAATTAATTGAAAAAAACAGGGTATACTATTTGTCAAATAAGAAGTTTGACCAAGTTTTGGTGTTTGACTTAATAAATTTGGAAACCTTCAGGATAAGTAAGACAATTATCTCCATAATTTACAGCTTTTCTGCTAGGATTCATTCGTAAGTTTTGGAGTTCTAAAATTAACAGCAAGAGTTACTGTCAGTTAAAACTTAAAAAGTAAAAGGACTTCTATAGATTTTGGTCTTTAGTTTTGTGAATTTGAGCAAAAAAAATTCCATGTACTTAAAAAACCTCTTTAATAATTGTAGATTGTGTAATTGTGAAATTTTTTAACACATCAGACTGATTTTAAAAATAGTTTTAAAAAAGGATTAATGCCTCTTGCCATTTACCTAGAAAATTCATTTCACAATATTAATAAAGATAGCTTGCCAGACAAGGGGTGATTTTGTTCTATTTAAAATTAAAAAAACTTAAACCTAGTCTATAATTATATAGACACAGCTATCAATGGTTAAAGTTTTATGCAACGATTCTCAGGTATCTGTAGGGCTGGGTATCGATTACCAAATTGAGATCGATTATCGACAGCTTGCTACCGTTCAATGATTGATTATTGCTCGAATATTTCAATATAGAAACCTTGTAAATACTAAATTAAAAACATGCCAAATTTTTAATTCCATTGGTTATTTTTGTGTCATAGATGTATATTTTTGCTTTGGTCTTATTGTGGGTAAGTTATGTGCTGAAGGGAAACTATGTGGAAGAAATTACTACTTGCTAATAAGGACAGTGGAGAAAATAACTTTGAAATAATATAATCAATCTATAATGAAATTTGATAATCGAAATTATAAATTAGTAGCGACGATAATCGATTATTTCCATTATTTTACCCAGTCCTAGGTACCTGTGCCTAAAACTTTAACCAGTGAATGTTGTTCCATAGAGCTGTGTCTTTATATCGCACTTACAAAAGCTAAATGTCATTTAAAGACTTATTACACTAAAAGCGATTCATGATTTCATAATCTGATTTTCACAAAGGTACCAGACACAACAACTATCTTATATACCTTAGAGTAAATTATCTAGTACCATATCCTTGACAGTTATAATTCTATTGTGATAAAACATCCTGAAGCAATAATGTTTGTTTAATATGATCAAGAATCATATTCCCCAAGTAAAAGACAGTGTAGTCTGACTGGAATAGTAGGCAAAATAGAAGTTTCAATAATGTTTGTTTAATATGACCAAGAATCATATTCCCCAAGTAAAAGACAGTGTAGTCTGACTGGAATAGTAGGCAAAATAGAAGTTTCAATAAAGTTTGTTTAATATGATCAAGAATCATATTTCCCAAGTAAAAGACAGTGTAGTCTGACTGGAATAGTAGGCAAAATAGAAGTTTCAATAATGTTTGTTTAATATGACCAAGAATCATATTCCCCAAGTAAAAGACAGTGTAGTCTGACTGGAATAGTAGGCAAAATAGAAGTTTCAATAATGTTTGTTTAATATGACCAAGAATCATATTCCCCAAGTAAAAGACAGTGTAGTCTGACTGGAATAGTAGGCAAAATAGAAGTTTCAATAATGTTTGTTTAATATGATCATAGTATCAAGTTTTTACCGCTACTTCTCTCAATTTCAAATTTTTCTATTTAACCTTAACAAGTTACAATTTCGTAAGATAAGAACAATCATATATATCATGTCAAATTTCCACAGCCCACTCATAAAAAGTCACTTTCTTAGGGAAGATGTTGAATTTGATTGGCTTTTTTAAGCTGTAACAAGTGGTTGCCTAGCAAGATACTCAAACTTCAAACTTGAGTCAAGGGCAATAACTCAAAACCCGTTTATCGAAAAATCTTTAATTTTCAACTCGACCAAGATATCATCATTATACATAATCACACCAAATTTTATTTAAATTGGATGAAAAATGTAGTCTCTATTGTGTTAACGAACAAATTTTGACCCGTTTTCCTAAGTTTAAGTGGAATTGCAAGAAACACAGACGACTGAATGAAATTTGAATCGTGTCCCCAATACATTAAAAAATTCATAATCCCTTTAATGTAGAAACAAATCTTTAATTGTAATGCTGATGAATATTGCCCCTAATCAGATATCATTTTCAGTTCTAATTTAATTTTGAAATCTGATAAGAAAGAAAGTAATTCTGATGTTTAAGTACGTATTTATTGACTTAATCTACTATTGCCGAGGCATGTCTTCAAATGCCACACTTGTCTCAGCATTGGCACGAATGAAGTCAATCATTAAGAACGTGAAAAGCAAGGTTAGAAAAAAACTAAGTTATTAAAGAGACAACTTCGCCATCCATTTCTCCAATCATATGTTAGTCTCAGAAATGGCATTTTTTAGCTAAGGTAATCACTAATAGTGTTCACCGCTCTCTGTCGAACCATGTGTGTGTAGAATCATCAACTTTCGAAAGTTTAAATGATGACCCAGTCTTTCCTTGAGATATAGAAAGGATATATATAGAAATAGAAAGTGAAATTCCTAGTTTGAGGTATATTTGAAGGGATTTTCTGATTTTCGTGCTGTTCTTGTAGTTCTGTTAACTATTTACATATATTTACAAATTAATCCCCGAAAATGGCCAAGCTGTCCCTTTAAATTTACCTTGTATTTTGAGAGGTTCTTTTCTATCAACAACCTTGACACCTCGGGCTAACAATGCTGCTTCTTTTAATGACAAAAAGTCATCTTCATTAACAGGAACATTATCAGCTTTCATGGTCTTTTTATTATTACCCTTTCCTTTTTCTGAAACAAGGTATACAGCCAGTCAATATCATAGTATCACCACCTATATTTATCAAACAAGTTAATGAACCTAATTAGAAAAGCCTTTAGGCATTTAGAAACACATGTATTGTATTTCAAATTGCATTAGCTAACCGAATGATTAAAAACTTCCAGGAAAGGCTAGGCATATTCATTCTTTAGAACATTTCCTGAAACTCTGACACTGGCTGTGTAAGATTCAAAAGCATTCATATTTTTTCTGATATCTTTTGTCTCGTCTCCATTGTAATCTAACAAGTTTTCTAAATCAGTCCCATTCTTATGACAATGTCATTAAGCAAACAAAGCTGTTTCTTGAACTGAAAGTGGGTGTAGTGATGCTCTACTTTGGGTTATGCTATCCGACAATTCATTGCGAAACCAAGAAAGAGATTCTTAACGACACACATTGATAGGTTAAAAAAACACAAGAATGTGATTGTGGTAGAAAACTTGTTAGATTACAATGAAGATGAAAAAAATTCATAAAATGAATATTTAAATCTTTTTTTTGGGTAAATTCCATAGGTCATAAAGAATTTTAAGCAATTTCTATAAAAAGTGTGTAAAAAACCTACCTGGACACTTATTAGACCAATGACCTGGTAAACCACATGTAAAACATTTTCCGCTTGTTTTACTTTTAGCTGCCATTTTAGATTTCCATTGACTACGTTTATATTTCTCTCCTGTCATTCCACCCCCCTTTCTTTTATATTTCTTTGCCTTCATATTTAATCTAACAAAATTGTCATTCAGTCCACGTTTAGAGACAGGTGCTGCTCTCCTGAAAAATACAATCTTTTAATACCTCATGCAGATATTTTCTACAACTTTCACATCTTGAATACATAAAAAAAAAGTGCTGTCAAGTTTTTCTTATCATCTAATGAAAATCAAACACATTCCGAATAAATCATTTATCTAAGGCAACATTTCATATTATATGTTGTGGTTCTCCTGCACTTGCTATTAGATTTCTTGACTATTAAGAATGATGTCTGTATAGTCACTCTAAGGACCAAATAATGTAACCTACAAGAATTCCAACCATCGAAATTCTACACAAGTCTACTACACATTTAGATCTAGCTTTCAGCTTAATTATGAGCTCCACTAAATTAAATATTGTGGCAGGTTTCACTTTTTGAAACACCTGTGCACCACTCTATAACTGGGTTTGTAAACTCAGCATCTCTTTCAGAGAGTCCACATGACTAATATAGTTTAATTGGTATATATATTCAACTAACCTTACAGGTACAGGTTCATTAGCCTCTTTTTCTTCTTCTTCTTCTACACAACTATTGATCTACAATTAAAAAATAGTTCTCCATTCTCGTGCATCATTATTTAATTAATCATATCTGCATCTGTGACTGGCTTGTGCAGTTTAGATATTTAATTGTACATGAACTGAATGTGACATTTCCATTCTGAAAAATGTTTTAAAAAAACAACAACAAATTTTGTTACAATGTTAACAACTCAGGTTCACAGGGATCCTGTTTACCAGT